TTCAAACAATTGGAGGCGTCCCCACATTGTGTTTTCGTCTAAAAGGCATTTAGAAATACTGAATTTTTTCTCCAAAACCCAACCGTTCGCACTCTGAGAATCTCTGAAGTTCTCATGCTGGGCCTTGATGTAAGCATGACTCTGAACATTCAGAGCAGCAGCTATATTTGGATCATTACACCGCTATTTGATGAGCATAAAGTGCAAACCTCCAGTGCAAACGGCCTCGGATCAGGGAAGGCTGAATGTTCAGAGTGAAAATTCAGTGTTTATGGAGCACTTTCTCGCCGCTTTCTACTGTTTACTTCTAAAACCTTTGTGTTTTCTGATAATGATTAAAACTAGGAATTACATCTGAAGTCGAGGTTTCGATAGACGGGAAATTGGCCCGTTAGACAAGAGAAATGTCGTCGAAAAGCAGAAAATGAGCTGCTTCTATGCTTAAAGGAATCTTCCACGGAAAGAGTGATCATTTTGTCTTGTGTGTAGGATTAGTATTATCGAAACTAACGCTTATGTTCCGTTCTTTTTGCTATGCTCATGAGGCTAGGGGCCTAAGGTATCGTTTTTCTGTGGTAATGGAGGCGGAGCTTTTTCCGTGGAAGATTCCTTTAAGGTTGTCCATTGGCCAGTTCCTTTTACTTTACATCGTATCCTGATTCGTGAAGTTCCTGGAATAAACCTCTTCTTCGTCGATTTTGAGCCCTGGAGCTTCAGAAGTTAGGGCTTACAAGGGAAATCTCAGCTTACCTCAAAAAATCCCCTTAATCAACGTACTATCATTCCAACTATACTTGCCCATCCCGGTAACACACTGGCTTTAGATTTAGAGCTCATAAGCACACAGCAGATGATGTGCTCTCTTAGGACAAGCCAGTTGAGTTCTGTTCCTGACGCGAACCATTGCTTGATACAGTCACTTGCTCCCTGCCAGCCAATCTTTAACTGTGTTCCTTTTTCATGCAAGACATCCGTCGCAGTAGCCCTCGAACCTGGCCACGTGGGCGACTCTGCTCCTACGTGTTATGTGCTAGCCAAAGAGCTACCTTTAACCCGCCTTTTGATAGCTTCGGAACTTTTTGTGCTGACCGTTTCCAAGAATTGTTACTTCCTCTTCTTTAATCTTCCCAATATCCTACCCGATTCTCTCCAAGAAGTCACGCGCATATGTTGATTACTTTGTTGTGGATCCTCAGCCTGTTCACGTAATTGATCTTGATGTTTCCAACCAATACCACAACAAAAGCGAAGAGGGCTGCAGGGTAACCAGAACAATTTCTACCAGCCTCATAGTCTCCAACCGGGGCTTTTCAAACCTGAACCCTCTAAGGATGAGAATTTAACAGGGCAGCTTAAAAGGAATGAATACCTCATGATAGGGGGAATTAACTCTTTGCACTGCACGTGCATTTATCGTACACCCCATAAATAATATCCCAAACGAAGTTGTAGACCACTTTCAGCAAAGTGGTCCAATGGACACTTTTTCATCCCTTACTAATACTTTTTTTACCTGCGAGAGCTGTTTTCTGCGAATGCTTACAGACACCGTCCACGTTGTCTGATTGATTCGATTGTGGGTTGACTTTGGCAGGTTCATGAAGACCTCGCAGTAGAATAAATAAACAATTATGGCGGCTTCCATTTTCCTCATGATTTTCGATGCGAATGAGCCATCCAATGCGGTTTCAAAGACGGTGATGAATCAATGTACTTTTTTTTTGTTCGTGCTCATACGGATAACTCTGAGTTCCCAAAATATCCCCTCTATGGCCACGTTAGGTCTTAGGCACAACAAGTCCAGTCCATGTACTCTGCTCGAATGTGCGTAATCGGATCGGACTGTGGCCTACGTCACGAAGCCTACAATGCTGTCCTAGGCAGATTTTCTAATAGTTCGTTCGGGAATCCCTTCCCCACGTAAGCATGAGCCCACTTAGCGTAATCAAGAAGGTGTTCGCGGATTCCGCTTTTCGAAATGTCAACATCCGTGACGCTTCTACGCGGGATTTCATAAGATGTCAAGGATGATGTGAGCCAGGCTGATGAGTCTCGATGCGCTTCGAACTGAATACTTTTGAATACTACTAATTTTGGGATGAGGTAACTAAGAGGTGCGAGTTCGAGTTCCCTCTGGGGCGAAGGTTTTGCTCACAGTCCAGCTAAAGCTAGAGCTTTCAAACTTAAAAAATTAAAGCTTTCAGCCTCGCGGTCATTGCCGATATCGGCTAACCGGCTCAACACGTTATACGTGTGAGTGCTGAAAGCTATGGTAAGTATACCATGAAAAGCTGAGTTGGGATGAAATGGTGCCCCGGTAGCGTAACTGGTAGCGCACTTGCCCGGAAAGCGAGAGGTGCGGGTTCTAGTCCCGCCTGGGGCGAAAGTTTTGTTCACAACCCAGCATTCTTGTGATTCGCAAGGCGAACTGCGGCCAAAAACAGCAGTTAACAAACAAAAATAGTCAAAATTTCCACTGTTAGAGGTGCTTGAATAGCTGCACAGGAAATGAACTACTCTTAGAATCCCTATCCATGAAGTGATCGGTGAAGTGAATTCGTACCATATTCAAAAGTCTACCTACGTGGAAGTTGGTCAATTCATTCTGAAGAGCTGGGTATAAAACAAGTGACCACGAGGCGGGGAAGTTCCGTGTTATGCCATTTTCGGTCCCACGCAGCGATTGGAACCTCAAACAGCCTGCACTTCGTCTGAGCGCCGGAACAGACCAATTCGCAAAGACGTTTTTCCTATTCCGCTTCATATGGATCAATCTTTTCTCTGAAATCAAGCCCACTCAATCCACCTCCAAATATAGCTCTCCCGCTACGAGAGAGGTCATAGAGATATCGCAACTAGATTATCAGGCTCTTGAGAGATCTCAACAGCTTCTCCTTTATCTTTCCTCGGTTTACGCTTTCCACTTCTTCAAAATGCCTGCTAAATATGAAAGCGGATATACGGGGTTTGTCAGAAGATTATCATCACTAAGTCATTAGTTGTGGGAAATCACCTTGAATATTCATATTACGAGAGTTTCAGATTAGTCGTTAGTAGAGAAGGCTTGCGTCCCGTGGCTACTAATCCGCTTTCTGGATAAAAACAGGTCCCTCTTACATGTGGACACGTCAGAAGGCAACTTTCACACTATTAAAAAGCGTTGGAAAAAGGCCTCACGCGACTGAACAGTGATCTTATGTGGGCTCGCACTTGGCGAGGTTAGGGTTATAACTAAGTTCATTATGAAAGACCTGGCACAGTGCATCCTGCTCAGCCCTCCTGTTCGTCTCAGTCAGGCCAATTCAAATTTAAAAAAAACCAAAGTATAAGTTGGCCGGGTGGCATTAGAGGGTATAATCGTTTCACTTCTATTCAGTTTTTTTTTGCTTGGAGTAATTAAACTTCGTGGAGGAGGTGATTACTAGATAGGGCTCTTATAGTCTTCCATGAAATCCTTCTGACCAATTGCTCTTCATAAGTGCCCTTTGTCAACACTATAATTTTCTGGTAAATTGAACTCTGACTCTTGAACGCCTTTGCATCACCCACATATTTCTGAGGAGTTCGGTGTTCTTTTGATATTATTTCAAGGTCACTCTTTTCTGATGGAGCTTAGAGATTGGCCTAAATTTAGCCTAGAGTTAAGCTACACTCGGCCTTAGGCCTACCAAATCAGAACTTTTCTAATCAAAGCTGCCCTGATGTTATCGAGGGAATATGTACACATCCATTCCAAATACCACTATCCAGGTATCATAGATCATTTACACATCTTCAATATTAATACCACAAACGACAGTTGCTAAAGCAAAAATGACGAATAGCCCTGGCGAGCAAGATTTATTGCATTGAGAGTATTGTTTGCTGGCTAGTGAATTCGTGAGCTCTGTTATTATGAGTTGGAACTGAAGTATAGTGGGTCTGTCACCCGTCTACGAGCATAAACATTGAGCACAACCAATAGGCTTCACTCTCCATGTCCGATCTCCTATCCATTTCCTTTTTTTTCTCAGTGCCACTTTTCTGCTGTCGCCTTCCGAATGTTGTTGAAATTACATCACTGTTTCACTCATTTTCGTTCCTTTCCGTTTCATAGGTTGAATTTGAATATCGTCGTTATTTCGTAATCCAAATTCACGTAATTATAAAAAAGTAACGTCGTGGCATTTCTAGTGATTGTCTTGTTTAGCAGCAGATGCGCGTTGCTGCATGTGGTTCTACGTCTTCATCGCAATTCTATTCGGTTATACAGTCGTTCTAATTGCATTCTTCATGGGATGGTGTACTCTGATGCCGACAAGGTAGGTCTTTCAGTGATCTATTATTTATTTAGGGTTCCTCATGAATTCGACAGTCCCAGAGAGAGTTCATGGTAATATGCTCTGTTGCAGGTGTCATCCTCGAAAGGAAATACCGTTCAGTTCGGTCAAATCTCCACGACGTAACACAAAGTACATTGAGATCGACTCTGTTTCATCCAGGTACATACTAGATAACAATGTTTTTATGGCTTGGAGTCAATACATAGTAGGATACTCTGTTTCGTAAGCGGTCGTACCCGGTCTGACTCCAGCTAGCTACCTGACCAGGGCTAATTGGATTGCTTGATGCTCTTTCTGTTGTCATGCATATAGTTGAATCGAGAGAGTTCCGCTAGGCCAGCGTGAGATGGGCAAACCTGGAAAAGAAAGATAATTGGTAACTGCTCTCTTTATTGGACTGCCAGAACTGAATGAAAAATGGTCAACCCAATAAGGTACAGTTATTGAGTTGCCTCCAACAATAGCGCTGAAAGAAAGGATTATACACAGTAGTTCCCCAGTGTCAGCTCCTAGACCTTATGAAAATTTACAATACTTTCCAATTTGGTCCTTAAAACAGTAAATTGTGAAATAAGGGCCGAGATTCCCTCCTTCTACATGCTGTGGTTATTCTTTACTTGATTCGAAATATCATTCACATATATCATAGTTCCCTTTTTCTCCATACTTATTTGATGTATATTTATTTCAGTACGTCTCTGGACATGTTTAAGCACATACCGCGAAAGATCTCAGAGTCACAGTCACACGCCAAGAAGAAAACTTCTTTAGAAGTTCCATTTCAACCTCACCGATACAACGACTACCTGCATCCGAAATACTCACTACCGCCTGTGAAAATTGATATCGAAGACATGCAGGTAACGTTTGATTTCTAGAAAACAAGAATTCAAATCATAGTTAGGTTCAGGGACTTTGGAGCACTACTGGCCACATACCTTGAATACCTTGAATACAAGGGTGTTCACGCCTATCCTTGCAGGACGCATCTATGCCATTTCGATTTCTTGCCATTTGTTGCCATCTCTGTCCAAATAATTTCCTAAATGGATCACTCCACCTGGCTGGGGGTCTTCCCTGCGGCCTTTAACTCCGCGGGGATACAAATCGGTCACTCGTGATGTCCAACGGTTGTCACTGAGACGGGCAATACCATACTGGCCACATAAAGACCTCAAAAGCTCGAACCTGTACCACCATGACAAGGGTTTTTTATTGGGGGCAGCGGACTTTTGGCTCGTCCGGGCTGCCACGCGGGTAATTGCGCGGCGGGACAAGGCAGGTCTTCGCGGGCTTTTGCAGTGGAATCCAACACGTGAAAGTTTGTGCAGATCGTGGATAAAATCCGCAAGGTTCTGCGATTCGAAGTACATTCCAACGCGTGGCGATTTGAGGATAGCAGTTATGGTAAGGAAACTTCAGTATGAGAGATGAGAAGGAACTATCATAGTGCTATTGTTGCGATCAGGGACTCATGTCGGTAAGGACAGAGAGGAGGGGGACATTCAAGTGAGTGAGCTAATTACTGCGCTCGGAAATAGGCTCAGGGAGAGGGATTCCGGGGGACGATGTGAGCAATTTGTGTTCTCCTAAACATTTCTAACCTCTCGTAGGCTTAGACCTATATCATCTACCATTGACTTTGCTTCGAATGTTGCCCCTAAAGACATAAGCGCCGCGATCAGCAAAGCGCACAGGACACTACAGAAGTCTATCTCAGTAAAAATTCCTGATTGAGTATTCCTCATTCGCTTCGGTGATAGTAGTGACATTTCCATGAAGGCTCTCTCATCACTTTGCACTCCTCAGCGACACCGCTGTTTCAAATCGCCACGTGTGAATTAATCTCAGTCTTGCGGATTTTGTCCACGATCTGCACACGAGTGTTAAAGTGTCTGACGTCTTAAATTTTATTGGCGGCTATGAGATCGCTTAAACGGCGTAGTTCATAGTTTCTCCTTGCATCGGCGCCGATACGCTTTGTACTACTCCTTTTGCTTGGAAAGTGTAAATAAAGTTGTTATACGCTTCATTTCACATTCGACTCCTGTTTCTAGCGGGTACCATGTCTCTTAAGATTTGCTATGCACAAAGAATTCTATAGCCGCTCATATTTACATAAATTTAAAAATATCTTCAACTGTTGTTCAAAATCTCATTCTCTATCTGTTTCAGTGGGAATACGCGCAACTTCTCAAGACACCAGGTCGAGCTGTTCGCACCAGTGTCAGTCCGTCATCACGTCATCCTAAAGAATCGCGTTCCTGTCCTGAGTTGTGAGCCGCAGATACCTATTCTTGCGGAAACGGTAAAATTCAGCCACGCTGAAGATAGCAATATGACGCTTTCGTGTGACCACAGCACTTGTCTTCCTTAATTTCCGTTCTTCTTCTTTCTTATTTTTCGGGAAAGATATGGGTTTGGTGACGGTATAATATGTGGTTATCTCTTCACAGCGATCATGTTTCGCTACCCTAATAATGTATCCTTTCTTCTTTTCTATCTTTTCATTTCCTCATGATATAATGATCTCTGCTCGGGCGTTAAAGCTAAATATTATTGTAGTTTGTTTGATGCCGTGTATTATCGCAATTCATTTAGATTTCTATATATGTAATCTGTGTGTTCTATATTTACTTCTGTAGTTGCGATACGTCCTAACTCACCCTTTTTCAGGCTTGGGATATGCACAAGTCGAGTGCCTTTATGGTTTTTTATATCCGACGCGCATTCGATGTGCCTGACGAGTTTATTTTCCAGTCTTCTGTAATTAATGTTCGTGCTTCTTTGCGCTATGGTAGTCTGGATTTCTTTATTGCACTGTCTCTTCTATCAAGTAAAGTAGGTAATTGGATGCTCAACGTAATAATCACGCGTCACTAAATTGCCTTTCTGTAAATAAATTTGAGGAATAAATATTTTGAATTGATGTTGTATTTCTATGCGTGTAACACTCACTCAGGCATAGTACATATTAAATTGTATCGACGCAAATTTATCGTCTTCCGAAAAAACGATGATTAACGGATCGTCATCCACAAATACATTAGAAATAAATTACATAGTTAGAAAAATAAGAGACACGTTTAATGCCCAATTGGATCAAAAAGGACAAGGAAAGAGTGACACTAAGTAAATATATGACATGATATCCAATATAATATTCCGTATTCTGACGTCTTGCAATCAGCTATTCAGCGCAGCACTCAGGCGGAAAGGTGTAAAGAAAGAGCATCCTCTTGTTGGCGTGCTGACTCTGTTGTGAATTCACCACTTATTTTTCAATATTCAAATAGGATTCATAGTGATAAACGACAACGTGCGAGTATCAATCTCTGTTGGAGCGCCATCTCATCGCGCTAAAGATTTAGTATTAATTATATATTCCATTACTCGCCGAAGATCTCAAGTTTCTTTGAAACTTTCTCGTGAATCAGCTTAAAGTTGAAGTGCATGAATCTGAACGCTTCCGACAAGCACTCGGACGTAGCATGTAACAATGGTAGACAATGTACCTGCGTCAGAAGATAAGGGCGGTCATGGGCGCGCGCACCCTCATGTACGGTCTCTTTTGACGACCACTTAGAACACGGGTCGCCTTTCTGGAAAGAATTATAGTAAGCTTAGAGAAAAGATTATGGCAGCTGCTACTAATAGCTATGGTCCTCACTGCGTTGATTTGTGGATCGTGGAATAATCGGACGATTGGCGAGATCTTGCGATCAATCAATCATTTAATCACAACACAGTGCTTCGATTCCCTTCGAAAACTCAATTTCTTAAACTCGTGTAATAATGTGTTGTGCCAGTGCATTTCGTTTTTTTGCTATGCGTTGTGTCTGCATACAAAGAAATTCAGATGTGTGAAATAGTGGCTTTTATCGTAAAAATCGATGGAATGCTAGACATTTAGAACTGAATAATGATTAAGGACCGGATGACCGGGACAAGTGAACCTTAGACGCCTAACCCCCTAATTATACCTGATAGGCCTACGACGAGTAGTAGATGGGTCCTTCGTTTCCGGACACCTAGGTGGTTTCCTGAGTAATTATGAAATGTAGTTCGGAAAACCTGCATCCTCCTTTGCTGAAAAATTTCCTGGCAAGCCGACCTTCAGAATAATGTATGAAATCCTGTTCCCAAAATAGTAGGAGAATTGCAAAAACCGAGGTCGATTAGTTTCCAACAGACAGAATAGCGCCACCTATTGCGAGAACACTAAATTGGCAACTGGGCTGACTTAGAATATCCAAACTCGGAGAATGCCACTGACAGCGTTCCCCAAGGATTTTTGCGTATATATGTTCACCTTTCAATGGACCGTGAGCCGAACCCAGTTATGATGAGGTAGATGAGGTAAAGTTCCTCAAGAGGAAACGACCCACAAAGTTCTAATCGTAAGAAGAACACAACCCCACAACGAACACACACTAAGGCTGCTATTCATGTATAGAAATGCTTGTTGAACTCACCTCCAAAGGAAGTCAAAAAAGTTTCTAGTGAAGAACATAAAGACGGCTAGGCTCTCCTTTGAATTAGCTAAGTACTATAGAGATAACCCTTACCTCTCAACTAACAGATCCAGAAATCCAAAAAAGTACAACTGTGGTGAAGACGTCATTATCCCCAATGTCGGCCAGCTGGCGAAGAGTGAGTTAGAAACAACAGTCGGGCCCAGTGGAGAGAGAACGAAGCATTGTGAGTTGACGGTTTAGGCCTGCAGGTCAAATTTTCCCGCGTTGAAGGTAGCGTCGAATACTCAGCGAACCGCAACCTTTCAAGTTTCTGCAAACGGCAAAGGGCTCTAGAAAGTCAGTATCAGCTGCCTACTTTATAGACAACTTCAAGGTCTGTTTTGCGGTTCCATATCACATCTTGTTTGACAAACTCCAGCACGTTTCTACATGACGATCAAAGCCCCGCTTGATCATATCCACTTGTAATTCATGGTCCACGACCAGGCGCTTGTTATGGCAGCGCAGTATTACTAAAGCTTAACACTAAAGAATCTGTATTATGTAGTGATCAATTTTGATACTTTTTTCAAGGTTTTAGCAGAACCAATGTAGTGCTTGGTTTTGATCCACGTAAAAGCGGCCCGTTATGGATCATAACGGCAGAGTTCCCTTGCCTGTATCACGATAGAGAGCAATAGCGTCTTTGATCTGTGGCTATGCAAAGATAGCACTTTTGGGCTATCGAGTGTTCCAAATAAGATGTCTTCAAGAATGCCAATTTCACGAAGAAAAAAAAACGTTTTCTGTAAAGCCAACACAAGGAATCCAGCAGACGTCCTCACCCATGTTTCTGTATGCCAAAAATCTGAGTTATCAAATATTATATGTTATATTAGATCATCAAAGATACGTTGTTTTCTTGCAAAGATTGAATTTACCTCCTTTGAAGAGGCTAAAACTGTCATCACTCAATCAAAAAATTTGACCGCTCCAGCGATTCGCGTATGGCCTTTTATGGGAAGTGAGCTCGAATTAACTTTAATTACTTAGTCAGTTCTTCAGTTAGCTCTTTTGCCTTGAGCGACCGGGGCCTCGCCGTCGCTCTAACATATTATATTATACCAGCATCAGCCGAATAAAAGCAGATAAAATATTTTTGGTCCAATCGCACAGCAAAACACATTGTGACAAAACAAGGAGAAATCATGGAAAGCATCCAAGGATTACATAGAGAATCTCGATGAGATTGTCATCAGGAGGCTTCACTACTTAAGGGTTCAGGTAGTAAGGAGAAAAGGAGAAAAACGAAGATCCATAAATTTGTAATACGCGCCTCGAGTTTACGTCAGTGCGACTGTCACATCACACGCCTGCTTCTCCATGAAATGGAGCGCATTATGCACGCTTTTGTTGGTGCAAAAAGAAAACTCAACATGTCTATGGGATTGACGGAACTGTGAAATGGTTCATTTTTCATATCTGTTTCAGAAAAAACCACAGCACATGTGAAGTACGAAGTTCATGCCATAGCTCGATATAAGAACACCGAAATTTGGTATACAGGAGGAGGGGGGGGGAAAAAAAAGACATTTTGCCCAGGTCGCACTTCGGCCTTTTTTCTTCGCAGAGATTGCCGTCGGAAGTTCCTCAGCAAAATATTCCCTAAATGTCCCTCTATAAGTACACGCAGGCCCTCCTTCACTACCCTCACCGTCTTCAGAATATGACGTCATCTGTCACCGTCGTCGAGCTCAGGGAGGCCTACAGTAACTGCTTCAGCCTGAAGCTCTTACATAATTTCTTGGATCGATTCAACGTGGGATAGTTTCCTAGGGACATTAGCTCTAACTATGCAAACCCCCTCGGAACCCGCCCTTCGGAACCCGTAACGGTACACGATCAGTCGAGAACCCCATTGAGCTCGACCAGAGCACCATGTTTCCGGGGCAAACTTTTCTGATGCCGTCCACGTGGATGGCCACAAAAGGTATGCTGGTTGCTGAGCAGTTCTTCGAAAGAACTCCGCCTCAGAAAGCAATCCGCAAGCTATCTTACTCGGTGATTTGAACAAGCTGTGCTGCCAGCAGCGGCGCAAGTGAAGCAGTTTGACTCTAGCATGGGTTGGCATGGTGTCACCCAGCTGGTTCCGGTAAACTCGCCCATGCATCCGCCATCTGAGCCATTGTCCGCCCATGAGCGAAAATTGGCGGCCAACAATGGGGGGAGGGGTCATGTTTTACGTTCTCCTGACGGATTTCTTTACTTCTTCGCCGTGAGCATGCAAGTAAGCACCCCAACGTCCCCTCCAAACCGAACCAGAACCTATCGTAATCGCTGACTAATATTTTTCTGCCGCCATGTTCAGAAAAGGATGAAATACAAAAGTCAAGATACTTTCATTTGTTCTGTATTGTCAACTGCTGGTTTTCTTCACATTGCCCATAACTCTATCAGCACCCCTGTGCTAAATTTGCCAGCTTCCATAACAGAGACGATATTTTCATCTACAAAAATTGCGCCCTCCGTCTGAGCCATTGCCCGTCCATGAGCGAAAAATTGGAGATACGGGCGGTGTTGCTGAGAACCGCTGATAGTGACAAGGTTGCTATCGCACTCTAATCAGACCTTTTCCGCTAAATTGTTCCCTCCTTTTTTTCACCGTGCAACACTTAGAAACATGAAGCTCACCATACATGATAATACAACAGAGGCTTCGCTTTTTTGCTCTCTCTGCCTTTCAAAGTATGTTTCTTCGTGTATTCACCATTTTCATCTCACCATACCCAAAGTCTCAAGCGGAAACTGGTATCGTTTGAAATG